GAACAAAGGCTGTTTTCCAATTGTCTGTGATGGAGTTTTGTCTTATGGAGAGATTGAAGATGTGGGTCACAGGGACTGTGATGATATGAGCAGCCAGCCTTAAGAAATCAGGTGGAATTTCATCTGGACCTGCAGATTTTTTAGGGTCAAGATCTTTTAACAGTTTATTGACTTCTCTGACTGAGAATGGAGAAAAAGAGAAGGTGTGATTAACTGAGGATTGACTTGTAGGAGGGATTTGATTTGTAGAAGTTTGGTTATTAAGTGAAGTGGCAGATTTTCCATTAGTAACTGTGTCAAATAAAGAACTAGAAGCAACAAAATGTTTATTGAAACAGTTCAGTATCTCGTGCTTATTTGACACAGGAACAGAGTTAACGAGAAGTTGTGATGGGAGGTCAGATGATTGGGTGGTGCCTGAGAGAGATTTAATGGTTTTCCAGAAGCTGTTAGGGTCATTTAGATTTTTGGAGGTCTGAGATAAGAAATAGTTGTGTTTTGCTGCTTTGACAGCAGTTGTACATTTATTCCTCATCTGTCGAAAACTCAACCAATCAGTGTCTGAGTCAGATTTTCTTGCTGTGGCCCAAAGATGATCTCTCCTGTGCAGGAGGTCAGCTAGCTCTGGAGTAAACCAGGAACTGTCTCGTCCCTTTATTCTGAACTGACGAAAAGGAGCATGTTTGTTAACAAAATAAATGAAACTATTATGAAATTAGTTCCAAGCGGAGTTCACGTCATCAGTTAACAGAATACGATGCCAGTCAAAGTGAGACAGATCCCAGAGGAATGACTGTTCACAAAAATGTTTCAGATCTCTTTTTTGAGTTAATATGGGCTTAGAAGGTGGAAGTTTAATATCTCTCATAGCAGTTGTCACACAATGATCACTCAAAATATCAGCGAATACACCTGTACCAGGGAATTTGTGAGGCATATTAGTTAGAAACAGGTCTAAGTTGGAGGATTTTTCTGGACGGTTTTTGTTTAACCTAGTGGGAGAGTTGATCAATTGGGTTTTAATGAAAATTAATTACTAAACTAAATGAATGAAAAAAAGTGGCATATTGTTTAGTCAAAATGGCTCTGATTTTCTTAAACCATTTTAAAGTAATTTTGTCTTTTAAAAAATTGCCAGTAGCTAAAAATATTTTTACATAAATTAATACAAAAAAACCTCAGATACTTGAAAAAAATAAAATTTAAACTAAAACATTTATAAAACCCTAATTAAAAACATCTTATCAAGCCATTTGTCTTGTTTTAGGTCAAAATACATATTTGTGAGCAATTTTAACTTATCAAGATGGTACTTTTTGCAGTGCATCTTTTCCAAAACCACAATAGGCATAACCGGCAAAACAAATATAGGAAATTAGGAACTTTAGGAAACCCCAAAAAGTTCAATCTGGTCCTCTGGACATTCAAAAAAAACAAAAAACAAAACAAAGCAAAAAAATATAGAAACGTTTCGTCTCTCATCCAAGAGACTTCCTCAGTCTGAGGTGTTGTTTTCAGCTCAGCCTCTTAAATAGCACCTTCTTAGAGTGGATCAACCAGTTTGCTGCTGACAACCAAAACCAGCTGATCACATGCTCAAGAAGGACCATCAGCCTAACAATGGATCATTAGCACACTGATGGCTGTTTACTATTCACAGAGGGCTGAGTGATACTAGCAATCACAGCATTGTAAGAGGGGGACAGTTGAACCCGGAGGCCTCCACCCCTGTTTAATGATGGACGATTTCTTTTCACAAAGATAGCCTCCTTTACTCCTCTCTCAAACCAACGTTCCTCTCTGTCCAGGATGTGAACATCTTCATCCTTGAAAGAGTGACCGCTGGCCTGGAGATGAGTGTAGACCGCAG